AGAGACCGTGCCCAGCACACTCTGTTCTGCCGTTCGCCGCATGTCCTTTGCCCAGCTGGCTGCCACTCTGAAGTCAAAATAGTAGAGACTAAATGTAAGTGCTTCTCTGCACAACACAGAATGCTGCGCCCTCCTACACTTAGGAAAGATGCTATAAATATAGAAGCAAACATAAAGGAATCTGCATTTGCCAAATGCCAGTAGAGACATTGTTTTTCCTATTCTAAAAATGACAGAAGGGGAAATGGCAAGAAGGGAGGGTGCTTTCTCCTTAGGTGCGACATGCTGGCTTTTAAGAGAAGTGGCTGAACTACTGCGTGCCAGAATGATTGGTAGGTATGAGTGAAGAACACATTAAAATCACATAAAACCCTGTGCAATACATAGTAAGGTTGTCGTAATCCCAACGCTAGGCTTTTGCCAAATGTCTCACTTTTTCCCTGAGTGCACACCTACTCCACACATCAACCATGTCAAGTGTTTTTTGAGTTGTGCACGTTCCTGCATTTAATAAAGCAGTAGCTACTTTGTGGAGAGGAGACTAATTGCAAAACCATACACATCCTACGTAAATTCATTCCCGTATAAAAACCAAGAGGGAGAGGAGAAAGTCCCTTTGGCTAATGGGGCACCATCAAGGTTGGCAGACTTGGAATGTGGCTTTCTTCCCTCACGCCTCAAATTCTGCATCTATATGCATGGAGAATAAAACATTTTGTATTTCAAGATTGATTCATTGCTGGCACCACATAGTCAAATCTGCATATCCAGTAACCCACTGATCTTGTTTAGCTGGATTTATTGCTTTTCTTCATGTATCTAAATCTGAATAAAATGGTGTTTCCTATTTAACCAACATATTCAGATCTTTCACAGTTTTGCTGGTTTGCCCTGGTGATAATAATTCCCTACCTGTCGTGAGGCTCTTTATCCTACCATCATTAGCAGTGAGTTTTTGGGTGGTGTCACAATTTTATATGGTAATCGTATGCAGATCCCATAAATAAAATCTCATGGATTGTCATTGCTGATTGAATTAGGAATCAATGTGGGGAAACAAGGTTCAGACTGTAGTTCAATGGTACAGCACGTGGGTTATGGCAAATGCTAGTCCTACTCAAGAGTAGACTCACTGAAATTAATGGACATGACTAATTTGGGATCGCTAATTTAAATGGGTCTACTGTGGGTAGGATTTAGCTGGCTTCAACCCTGTGTGTCCTGTACTTACCTTGACAAAAGCCCACAGGGCATGCATCAACAAGGCAAGCCTATTATTTCAGCACCATGGAAAGCTCCTAGTGAGCAACTTACTCCAGTGAAGTGTAAGGCTGGACTGAAGCCTTTGATACTTCCTGGCCAGATCACCCCTTCCAAGCCCTGCCCTTTCATTGAAAAGTGAATAGCCTTAAAGGGGCAGGGTTTTGGCTGGAACTTAGTACTCCTGCTCCTCTTAGCCAGTTCCCTCTAGGCCAGGCATCCCCAACCTGCGGCCCTCCAGATGTTTTGGCCTACAACTCCCATGATCCCTAGCTAACAGGACCAGTGGTCAGGGATGATGGGAATTGTAGTCCAAAACATCTGTAGGGTCAAAGGTTGGGGGTGCCTGCTCTAGGCCCATGGCCTACACTGATGGCCTGACATTGGGATGGGAGTCAGTGTTGTGAAGAGTGCCAGTTCCTTGGGGGATGCAGACTCCAAGGGCACAGTTGTCCTGATTCAGGGGTTTCTGGCTCAAGGCCCTCAATCTGATGGTCTCCTACTCAGGACTGGGCATGATGCTGTGTCCTGAATTGATCTCAATCTCCTGTGTCTCCAGTGCTGCTTGTCTGACAGAACTGGTCGGCCCCTCCTTGTCCAAGCTGCCGCTCAGAGTGACAATATGCATTGCAAACAGAAGATTCCAGGTTCAATTTCTAGAATCTCCCATTGAAAGGAACATATAGCAGAAGAAGGTAGTAAGAAAGGCCTGCGCTTGAGCCCCTGGGAATTCTCAGCAGCCAATGCTGGACTGGATGGATAAATAGAATGATGTAGTAGAAAGACATGATCCATGGAGGACAACATGGAGGACAGCATTTTTCCGAACGCCAGTTGCTGTAAACCACAGGAGAGGAGGGTGCTCATGTGTTTGGGTCCTGCTTACAAGCGACTCATAAGCATCTGGTTGGCCACCGCAAGAACAAGATGCTGGTCTAGATTGGCCATTGGCTTCATCCAGCAGGGCTCTTCTTCTTAAACAATTTCTTTTCTTCCAGGATATCTACCGTAGATTCCGGCATATAAAATGACCTTTTAACTCCGGGAAATCCTCTAAAAAGTCGGGGGTCATCTTATACACCGGGCATGGGTTTGCTGAGCAGCGGCAGTGGGCAGCGGGCTCCGCTCCGCGGTGGGAGGAAGCTGCTCAGCGAAGCCGGCTTAGCATCGCTGGGCAGCTTCGCTGGGCAGCTTCCTCCCTGCGGGGAGCCCACTGCCACTGCCCAGCGAAGCTGCCAATTTGGGGGGTCGCCCAGTCACCTAATACGCCGGAATCTACGGTAGCTATTTATTTTCTAAACCACCTTTCATCCAAGGATCATAGGGCAGTTTACAACATACACAGATGCATACAATAATAACTAATAAAAATAATACCCCCTTCCCCACAGTTCAGAAGGCCACAGATTGTCTAACTAGTGAAAAGCTTGAGAGAAGAGGAATGCTTTTGCCCGGCACCTAATGATATGTAATGAAGGCACCAGGCAAGCTTCCCTGGAGAGAGCATTCCACATGGATGGTGAGGACAAAGGAGGCAAATGGTACCCAAGAAGCAATTAAACCAAACTGAAAAGCTCAATGGATTATATCCAACTAAGTTATTCTCAGAGTAGAGCCATAGACGTTAATGAACCTGTTAGTCACGTCCAATAACTTCAATGGGTCTCCTCTGAGCAGGACTTTTGTTGTTGTTGTTGTTTAGTCGTTTAGTCGTGTCCGACTCTTTGTGACCCCATGGACCAGAGCACGCCAGGCACCTCTGTCCTCCACTGCCTCCCGCAGTTTGGTCAAACTCATGCTGGTAACCTTGAAAACACTATCCAACCATCTCGTCCTCTGTCGCCCCCTTCTCCTTGTGCCCTCCATCTTTCCCAGCATCAGTGTCTTCTCCAGGGAGTCTTCTCTTCTCATGAGGTGGCCAAAGTACTGGAGCCTCAGCTTCACAATCTGTCCTTCCAGTGAGCACTCAGGGCTGATTTCCTTAAGAATGGATGCGTTTGCACTGGATAAAACCCAGTGGAATATTTTTCTTCCCTGACCTAATCTTGAAACAAGGATTAAAAAGCTGAGTCCTGTTTACTGACCTAAGAGCTTGAGTTTTATGCATTTTGAAGAAAAGAAATAAAATGTTGACTAAAACGAGAGAACAATAATGTGTGTTTAAGAGCAATAGCCTATCTGTGTGAGTGGGACAAGGGATGGCCATGGGGAAGAGATAGGATGGGATATTGGAGTGGCTACTGCTCACTTTAAAATTGCCACTCTGGCCCCCAAGTCAAAAAATAGATTCCTCATAAGAATGTGAGAATTGCCATACTGAGTTGGACCACAAATCCCACATTTTTCCCTGGAGAGCTGGACTTGTCCCCGCCATCCACCAAAGAACAAAACTTTCATAGAATCCCAGAATATCTCCCGTTCCCTTGATGCTTAAAACACCTGTTTCCTGAAACTGCTAATTTTAACATGCAAGAGAAGAAGCTTACTCCATAGGAACATAAGGTAATCACAACAACTGCTTTTAGAAATACTTGCAGCCAACTCGCTACTGCTCTATTACTACCTCTCAGGTTTGAGGTGTTCCCTGGAGCACCCAGCACCACACACAATTTTTAAACTATCGAACACTTCCAAAGGTTCACAAATTAGTGCAGACGTATGGGGAGAAAACATGTCACACACAAAAAACCGAACAGTCCACACTGCAAGCTGCGCAGCCATCCAAACAGAAATAAACACCCTGCTTTAAGGAGAGAATTGCATTCTACAAAATACTGCAGTTTGAGTGTGCAAGGGCCTGGTGACACCAGTAGGCAGCTATACCTGAAGCCTACCTGCGGCAGGTAGTCACCATATCCAGCTCCCTGCAGTCATTTGCTGATGCTGCACTTGGGGGCTTGATCCAGCGGCCGATAGCTGAAGCCCCTGGATTGCAGCAACATGCAGTGAGATACTGTTTGGTCCAGCAGTCAAAGGTTCTACCAGTACAGCTGGGTACACCAGCATATTAGTGACAATATTCACATTTTTGTATGCAATTTCATCTAATATACAATTTCTCCCAAATATACAGTCATATCTCAGGTTACAGACACTTCAGGTTGTGTTTTTTCGGGTTACAGACCACCGAAACCCGGAAGTACCAGAATGGCTTACTTCCGGGTTTTGGTGGTCACACATGCACAAAAGTGCTAAATCACGCTTTGCGCATGCGCAAAAGCGCCGAATCGCAACCCGTGCGTGTGCAGACGCACCGCTGCGGGTTGCAAACGTGCATCCCGCACGGATCACGTTCGCAACCCTAGCGTCCACTGTAATGTATCTTTGCATGCTGTTTTCACTAATACCTGCATTTACACAAGCATGTTACATGAGAACACGTGTTTCTGTACACATTACTTGGCGGGAGGAACTGCACTGCAAAACTCAGAAAAGTGCAGATTCCAAAGGATGGCTGTGTGTCAGTTTGCATGTTTCGCAAAGGGCGGGTTAATTAATCTGGCCTTTATCTGTGAACTGAATCAAATTTCTCCCCTATCCCTGGCCAAAGTTGACCACAACGTATTCACCTGCGTATTCACCCTATTAAAATGCCTTCCTTTTGCCAGAAGGCAGATAATTATTTGTCACGGCAGGCCTTTGGCCGCTAATTATCTGTTATGGCAGGATCTTCAAAAGATGGGTATTGTACTGCAGAGTATTAAATAAACAAGTAATCAAGTAGGTAAGTGCCGTCCTACCTGGCATATGCCACTGATGCACATATCCAGAGATTTGGCATTGCAACGAGTACCATCCAGAACTTTGGGGGCAAGCTCCACCACCAAGGGTTTCCCCAAAGCTTGGCACTTGAGGGCACATGGAGAACCAGAATCATCATAGACTGGGATCCATTCATAAAACTGTCCTTGGTACTTGACGTCATTGTAGGCTGAACACTGCTGAGCTCGAAAATCACCAGCATCTGAAGGGCAGTCCTGAAAAGAAAAGGAGAACAACATTTTCCTCCAAATCAAATGTCTCATTCCACAACAAAAGCTGCATTTCTACTCTCCCGTTTACCTGCAAGCAAGCCTCATTGAACCAAATTGGACTTGCAGTTGAGCAGGCATCTATAAGGTTGGAGTGTATATTATTCTTTCCCTGACTGACAGAGCACTCCCAGGCAGGTCTACTCAGAAGCAACTTTTACTGAGCTCAGTGAGACTTACTTTTCAGTAGAATGTATATAAGACTGTAGGCATAGGCAAACTCCGGCCCTCCAGATGTTTCGGGACTACAACTCCCATCATCCCTGACCACTGCTCCTGTTAGCTAGGGATGATGGGAGTTGTAGTCCCAAAACATCTGGAGGGCTGAGTTTGCCGATGCCTGACATATAGCAAGGGAGGGATAGAAACGACTTCAAATACCACCAACATGTATTGCTTATGAACAATCCCTTCAACTTTTTTGCCATTATTTATTTGTTTGTCACTTAGGTTAGCTAACAATATACCATAATTCCCATATCTGGTATTTTATAGCAGTTGCATGCAATAAAGCAATTAACATAAATATATATAGTTTATCCAAGCATAATCTGTAACAAGATAATATTGTGGGACTTAAGTCATTTAATTAACCTTTTCAGATTCTCCATAAATCAAGAGGGAATGACATGAGAAATAAGACAAGGAGGGGGGATATGCTAATAGACTTATTTTACTCAAATTACTCCTAACGCTGCATGCTGCTGAATTGCATCTTCTACTTGGTCATTACAATAGTGAACAAATAAACTCCACTTCTGTATAAATAATTCACATTGATGCCTTCTTTCTTTTATATTTATAAAGCTTGCAAGCCTGACCAAGTAAAAAAAAATCCCATTATTTCCCTTGACGTTAAAAAATGTGTCTTCGTTTTATGTCAGGTCCAGCATGGCACTATGAGTAGATTGAGGGCGGGGGGAGAGGGGCAGAGATCAGGGAGTAGAAGCTAGATGACCCAGGTTAGGGCCCAAGCTGGATGAGGGGAGGTGGCCTATGTGCCTCAAGAGATGTCAGAACCAGTGAGTGCAGAGCAATGAACAATAAGGTCACGATATGGATCCAGGGGGAAGTACAAGTGGGTTGTCAGAGAAAGGCTCTGCCCCTGCATTGTTTATTCTTTTAAGTCTGCAAACGATGCACAATAATTGTTTTTACACTGTTTTGACGTTTCCTTTAAATTGAAATGAATGTGGGTTGTATAGGTTACATAAATAGTTGCATACATTATGTAACTTATGTAATTTAAATAGCATTAAATGAGCAATATTAAAGAACCTTTTAATGAGGGTGAAAGAGGAGAGCGCAAAATATGGTCTGAAGCTCAACATCAAAAAAATGAAGATCATGGCCACTGGTCCCATCACCTCCTGGCAAATAGAAGGGGAAGAAATGGAGGCAGTGAGAGATTTTACTTTCTTGGGCTCCATGATCACTGCAGATGGTGACAGCAGCCACGAAATTAAAAGACGCCTGCTTCTTGGGAGAAGGGCAATGACAGGCCTAGAAAGCATCTTGAGAAGTAGAGACGTCACCTTGCCAACAAAGGTCCGTATAGTTAAAGCTATGGTTTTCCCAGTAGTGATGTATGGAAGTGAGAGCTGGACCATAAAGAAGGCTGATCGCCGAAGAATTGATACTTTTGAATTGTGGTGCTGGAGGAGACTCTTGAGAGTCCCATGGACTGCAAGAAGATCAAACGCATCCATTCTTAAGGAAATCAGCCCTGAGTGCTCACTGGAAGGACAGATCGTGAAGCTGAGGCTCCAGTACTTTGGCCACCTCATGAGAAGAGAAGACTCCCTAGAGAAGACACTGATGCTGGGAAAGATGGAGGGCACAAGGAAGGGGACAGAGGACGAGATGGTTGGATAGTGTTTTTGAGGTTACCAGCATGAGTTTGACCAAACTGCGGGAAGTAGTGGAGGACAGAGGTGCCTGGCGTGCTCTGGTCCATGGGGTCACGAAGAGTCGGACACGACTAAACGACTAAACAACAACAACAACAACAAATGAGCAATATAGCATTCCGTAGAAACTGACCTGCAACAGAACTTAAGCAGACCAGATTGTGACAAGTACACATCAGAACAGAAATTGCTGTCTTCTTATATCTGTTTCTGCTATACGTTTGGCATCATGTAAAGACAATGCAGTTCTTGCTTTGGAGGTACTCAGTTTACCCAACGGAAATGTTCTGCAAAGCAAATCTATAGGATTGACTAAAATGCACGTGGTAAAGGTAAAGGGACCCCTGACCATTAGGTCAGGTCGTGACCGACTCTGGGCTTGCGGTGCTCATCTCGCTTTATTGGCCGAGGGAGCCGGCATACAGCTTCCGGATCATGTGGCCAGCGTGACTAAGCCACTTCTGGCAAACCAGAGCAGCGCACAGAAACGCTGTTTACCTTCCCGCCAGAGCGGTACCTATTTATCTACTAGCACTTTGACGTGCTTTCGAACTGCTAGGTTGGCAGGAGCAGGGACTGAGCAACGGGAGCTCACCCCGTCACGGGGATTCGAACCGCCGACCTTCTGATCGGCAAGTGCTAGGCTCTGTGGTTTAACCCACAGCACCATTTGCGTCCAAAATGCACATGAGTCATTGATTTAAATAAAATTTCCTCATATTGGGCTGTTAATATAAGGTCAGTCCCAGGTTGCAGGTTGGGGTTAAAGAATGCAAAGGTCCTGTTGGATCAGGCCAAGGGTCCACCTAGTGCAGCATCCTGTTCTCCCATTGGCTGAACAGATGCCTACAAGCTGGACACGAGCACAACAGCACTCTGCCTAGATGCAGTTCCCATCAATTGCTACAGCAGCATTGAAAAAGCTGATAGCTGAGATGATTCTTGTGCCAGATAAAAAGGACACATGCTTAAATCATATAGGGTTGAGTGTACGTTCTCTGTCCCATTATTGTTACATGAGTACAGTGGTACCTCGGGTTAAGAACTTAATTCGTTCCGGAGGTCCGTTCTTAACCTGAAACTGTTCTTAACCTGAAGCACCACTTTAGCTAATGGGGCCTCCTGCTGCTGCCGCCGCACCGCCGAGGCACGATTTCTGTTCTCATCCTGAAGCAAAGTTCTTAACCTGAAGCACTATTTCTGGGTTGGCGGAGTCTGTAACCTGAAGCGTATGTAACCTGAAGTGTATGTAACCTGAGGTACCACTGTATTCAGAGGCATAAAGGCAGGTCCAGCACCTGAAAAACTTAAAGGCCCCTGCATTACCATATAGCAAAACTAGGATTTATTCAACTATTAGTATTCAATTAATGCAATAAGTGCTTGCGGTTGAAAAGACACAAGGGTAAGGTATGAGTTTATGCGGAAAATATGGATTAATACAATGTTTTGTTTTGTTTTAAAGTATTTATTATTATTTTTGCTAAATGATGGCCAAGTTGTGTTGGCAAATGCACAGCCAGCTTTTTGGCATAGAAGGACGTAAGATTTATGCGGAAATGGCCTAAATAAGTGTGTTTTTTTCCCCTATGAATAGGACCCATAAGGATTATCTTAAACAGTTCCATATTCTGCACATCATAGCATTAGAATGTAGCCGTATATATAGAAATGGAAATATAAAACACAGGGCTTACGAAAGATTGAAAAATCTCATTGGGCACTATATAAAAGAATAGCTTATGTAGTTCGTTTTGCCGTGATACCCATAAAAACATCTTAAGGCATACATATATTTTTGTTTTAAAAGCAAGCAGGTGAACAGCAGTGGTTAATAATCCCAGAAAACGCCTTCGTTGGTAACCGCAAATCCATTTTATGATTGAAATATCATTAATATTATTCTGAGACCTACTTATTCCACTTGACTCTTCTGATCTTTACTATTTATACACTTACAAATCCAGATGAAATCAATTTCATGGTAAAATGATTCTTGTTGTTTTAATAAAAACGACATTTGTATTCTCTAGGTGGATTTTAGGGGTGTAATGGATCAAGGAGTGAAGCAGTCTTTGCAGACAAATCAATTCTGCAATGTTATATACTACCGCATTTCTCACACAATTCTTTAACTTCGGCAAATTCCGATCAAAGCTGGTACCAAATTCCTTATTTGCAAAATGTTACTAGGAATAGTTGACAGTGGGGGTGGGCAAACATTTTTTTGCCAAGGGACCACAATCCCCCAGCAGGGATTGCTTGACGAGTTGGCAATTACCACTGATTTCTAAGGGGCAAATTACTAATGCGTTGTCATGGACGGTTTGGACACAGAGGAATGGTGCGAGGAACCAGGTGGGGAACTACAAAGGCAAGAAAGTTCAGAGCCTGGGACGTGGTGGTGGGACAAGGATGAGTGGTCAGAGGGAGAAGACTGGGAAGAGACGGTAAAACACTGCCACTTTGAATTGTTATACCTAAAAAGAGGATGGGGAAACAATTTAAAAAGCAAGGGAAAAATATGAAGGAAACTGTCAGAGCTGCCTCAGGTCCCAGCTCACAGAGGACCAACGCCAGTCCGTTGTTATATAAAATAGTATTTATTCAAGTTCAGTTTCTCATTTACAGCCACGGCGTGCAGCTCTACGTCTCAAACTCTAGACCGCCGAAGCTCCGTCTGAGTCTCCTCCCCCCAGACACCAGTTTAAGACCCTAGCCTTGCTCCACCTCTTCCTTTGCTCTTTCCTCCTCTGGGTCCGCCTGTCCGCCGGGGTTTTCCCCTTTCTAGACTCTTCTGACGCTGAGTCCCCCGAGTCTTCCCCCTCCCTCCGGCGGGTTTTAGGACCTGGTTCCCAATCCGGGCTTCCTGCTGTCCCGCGCGCCTGTACATTTGAACTTGGCGCGCGTGCCCAGCCTGCCACCTTCCTTCTGACCGTTATACTGCTCCTGTCGCTGCTCCCCTCTTCAGGGACGCTAGCTGGGCCTGACTCCTCCTCCCTGCTTGCCGGAGGAGACGCTGACTCTGACCTATGG